TTCAAAATGTCAGATTGTTATTACAATTCATTGGCTATTCTATGTGTGTGGTTTTTTAAAGAATAGTATAGAACAAGATTGTGGTAAATTAAGTGGTAAATTAACTTACATAACTCTTGTAACCCAAGCATTGGAATGGATACGGCTGGTCTGCAGTTGGTTTGCCATCCTTGAAGTGGACAGAACACACCTGCATAAGAGAATAAAGCAGCAATAAATAAAATAGCCCCCCAAGGAATTACCTCCCGGAAATTTACCCCCGGAAAATTACCCCCCAGGACAACTACCCCCTAGGACAACTACCCCCCGGACAACTACCCCTAACCCTAAACCTAACCCTGGGGGTAGTTGTCCTGGGGGGTAGTTGTCCTAAGGGGGGTAGTTGTCCTAAGGGGGGGTAGTTTATATATCCAGGGGATAGTTGTCCAGGGGGTAGTTGTCCAGGGGTAGTTGTCCTTGGGGGGTAATTTTCCGGGGGGGGGGGTAAATTTCCAGGGGGGGGGGGTAATTGTCCTTGGGGGCAGGAAGCAGGGTAGTTGTCCGGGCGGTAAACTTCCGGGGGGTAGTTGTCCGGATACCACTTCAACTTATACTTCAACAGAATTTGGCGAAGCCCTCATTACGTCACTGCTGCCAAATGACTAAAGTAAACCCACCCATCTAACGTTGAAGAATTTGCCGAGTAGATCTACTAGATCTATTAGTTAGATCTTTAATAGACCAAAGAATTCTGTCCCTGGTTTAGGGAAGGGGTGACAGAATTCTTCGGTCGACAGTCACTAGATTACTTAGTCTAGATCTAACTTAGGCTAGCTAACGTTAACTTAACTTGTTAGACTGTTTAAATTTAATCCGTTGTAAATTTTTGTTTAGTTGGCAAAGGTTGTAAAAGAAAGAAAAAATTGAAAAACTCACCCTGCTGTTGGCATTTGGTATAAAATTCTTGCGATTTATATTTTTCAACCACTCCTGAAGTTTTCGGGCAGAATCATGATAACGTCCATTTGGGAAACGGTGCATTTGGTAAGGTTGCAAGCACTCACATTCATCGTGCGTCAAAGGTGAATGAATTTCACACACCAATAGTTTCCATTTTCGAAGTTTTTTACTATTGTTTGTGCATCCAACCACTGCACAGTTTTTCCCTGTTCCTGTCTTCGATTTTTTCATGATGAAACAATACACATGAAATCCTTTTTGTCCAAAGAAAAACGTCACAAAACTCGCGAGTAACAGAGGTGCAGCGAATAGAATCGATCGCTCAACGGGTATGCTATACCTATACCTCGCCCAGGCCGGCCAGGGTCGCTGCGCCGCTAGCTAGTAACCGCTCCCGAGCTCTCTGTACTGTCAGCTGGATCGGAGAAGCCCCCCAGTTATAGCGCCGCCACCGGCGGGCAGGTACATAAAACCCCCAAACCGAATCGGTGTATAGCAAAAGGTGTCTCCTAACTACACCGCTACACAGCAGATCAAGATGTTACTAGGACCTCCACGAATGTAGCCCAGGCGTTGCCGCCCAAGCTTCCCGCGCCGGTACGGTACGGTATGCAGGCTATAGCAGCATGCAAGTCGGGACGGTTGTCTGAACTTCAGGTAGGCCTATAGGGTCTATATGTGGATATTTTATTCTTTTCTGTTAATCATATTCATAGACTACTTCTATTACCGTACTAGGCCTACTAGTCCTGCATATATGGGGCTGAGACACTCATGAGAGTGGTAGCCAATTGACTTTAGAGTAGAAAAGTCTAGACTAGATCCACTCCAGCAAAGCATAGAGAGTCGACCCTGTGTGATTCTCATACTAGATCTAGAATCTAGTACGTCTTGGGCCTTGGCTTGGCAAAAAAAAATTCTCCAATTTAGAGGTCTAACAGTTAGAATCTAGAAGTAGAAGAGTCTAGTACTAGTAAAATCTAGATCTAGTAGGGGTCTAGACTCTATATCTAGATCTAGCTGATCTAGACTCTACTAGTCTAGACCTATATCTAGACCCTACTAGTCTAGATAGATCTATCAAGTATCAATACTATCATCTAGACCTAGGTCTAGATCTAAGTTAGATCTACTACTAGATCTAGGCTAGTAGTAGTACCGCCTAGATCTATCCGGGCGGGGGTGGGTAGAGTCTACTCAAATTATTTGTTGTTGGGGTGTGCCGCAGTCAGGGGCGTCGCTAGACCTTTTTCAGTGGGGGGGGGGGGGGGTGTAAGTTAGAGACCACCGATTACCGACAAAACTAGCCACCAATTACCGACAAATGTAATAATGTCCCTGTGTCTACAAATTTAACCCTATCAATACTAGGTCTAGTATCAACCCGGGCCGAAGGCTAAATTATTTTTTCTATGAACTAGATCTAGATCTAGATCTAGTCTATCTAGAATCTAGATCTATAGTAGATCTAGATCTACTTGCGTATGCGCAAATTGTCATTTTCCTTGACATAAATATAAGAATTATTTCGTTAACTTAGTCAGTATCATAGCTAGATCTAGACTATATATTTAAATGCAAGCGCGTAGATCTAGTTTGGATCCTATTTTAGGGGGAGGGGGTAGTGAGAAGCGAATCACTTAAAGAGCGCGCAAAGGGCCCTCCCGCGCGAAGCTTTGACGTTTCATTGAATTATGAGAGAAGCAGACGATTAGTTGTAGTGTTCTCGACTCTTAATCCTTATCTGACTTTATAGATTCCACCCTTCCGCGCGAAGCGCGGAAGCTTTGACGTTTCATTGAATTATTATAGAAAGCAGATGCTTCTGTGTAGTATTCTCGAATCTTAATCCTTAATTGTCTGAAATCGGTTTCCCCCAATCGCGCGAAGCGTGGAAGCTTTGACGTTTTATTAAATTATGAGAGAAAGAAGACGATTCGTTGTACTGCTCTCGACTCTAAACCCTTGTATGAATTCAGTTTCCCCCAATCGCGCGAAGCGCGGAAGCTCTGACGTTTCATTAAATTATGAGAGAAAGCGATTCTTGGTACTGTTCTCGTCTCTTAATCCTTATCTGAATGAAGATTCCACCCTTCCACGCGAAGCGCGGAAAATTTCATGTTTCATTAAATTATTATAGAAAGCAGACGATTCAGTGTAGTATTCTTGACTCTTAATCCTTAATTGTCTGAATTCAGTTTCCCCCAATCGCACGAAACGCGGAAGCTTTGACGTTTCCTTAAATTATTAGAAAAGCAGACGATCTGTTCTACTGTTCTCGACTCTTAATCCTTGTCTGAATGAAGTTTCCCCCCTCCCGCGAAGCGCGGAAGCTTAGACGTTTCATTAAATTTGTAGTATTTATTATTAGACAATGAAGACAATTCGTTGTACCGTTTTCGATTCTTAATCAGCCCTAATTGTCCGCATCCAGATTTCCTCTATCGCGCTTCGCGCGAAAGCTTTGGAGTTTCATTAACATATTAGAGAAAAAGGACGATTCGTTGTACCGTTCTTGACTCCTAATCTTTGTCTGAATTCAGTTTACCCCCTCCCGCGCGGAAGTTTTGACGTTTTTATTAAACTATTAGAGATAGAAGACGATTCGTCGTAACGTTCTCGACTCTTAATCCTTGTCTGAATGAAGATTCCACCCTTCCACGCAAAGCGTGGAAAATTTCACGTTTCATTAAATTATTATAGAAAGCAGACGATTCAGTGTAGTATTCTTGACTCTTAATCCTTAATTGTCTGAATTCAGTTTCCCCCAATCGCGCAAAGCGCGGAAGCTTTGACGTTTTATTAAACTATTAGAGATAGAAGACGATTCGTCGTAACGTTCTCGACTCTTAATCCTTGTCTGAATGAAGTTTCCCCCTCCCGCGCGTAGCGCGAAAGCTTTAGCGTTTCATATACATATTAGAAAAAAAGGACGATTCGTTGTACCGTTCTTGACTCCTAATCCTTGTCTGAATTCAGTTTTTTCCCCCGCCCGCGCTTGCGGAAGTTTTGACGTTTTCTTTTTGGCGTTTCATCACAATATAGAGAAAGTAGACGATTCGTCGTACCGTTCTCGACTCTTAATTCTTATCTAAATAATGTTCCGCGCGAAGCGCGAAAGCTTTGACGTTTCATTAACATTTTAGAGAAAAAGGACGATTCGTTGTACCGTTCTTGACTCTAATCCTTGTTTGAATTTAGTTTACCCGAAACTTTTAAACCTCTGATTTCTTTAGCTGATATTATAGGAAAGTCAAACTTCTAGAAAGTACAAGTATTATAGTTGTAGTCTCTCTCGATGTCGTCACAGTTAGTAGGGGGAAAAAAAATTGTCGGCCAACCGACATTATACATCTCGCCGACTTCAAATTCCTGCATTTATATAGTACCCGAGGATCGAGCAAGAATACCGACACGGCTGACCCGACACAGCAATTTATTTATGCGTGTCTTTCTTGCTCCCTCGACGAGACGACTCCACCCAACAACCCCCCCTCCCCCTCTCTCAGGCTCTTACCTCCCCTTGTTTCCTTTTTCTCTTTTTTTCTTCCTTTTCTCCTTTTCTTTCTTTTCTCTTTTCTTTTCTTTCCTCTCTTCCCTCTTTTTCTTTTTCTCTTCTCTTTCCTTTCCTCTCCTTTTTTCCTTTCTTTTCCTTTCTTTCCTTTCTTTTCCTTTTCTTTCTTTCTTTTCTTTCCCTTTCCCTCTCTTTTTTCCCCTCCCCCTTTTCTTTGTTTTCCCGACGGCAGCGCAATTTCGCACCCCCCACACCCACCCCCCCCCCCTTTGGCGACGCCCCTGGCCGCAGTCAGCTCAAATTAAGCTAGTAGGGTCTACTCAGCTAGTTTAGTAGAGTCTAGGGCTAATTGGCCCTCCCCTGAGTAAAGGATAGGGCTTAGCCTTGCTATAGCCTAGGGGGCAACAAGTTGAGTGAAAAATAGGGTCTTGAGAACGGGTCATGGCAAGAGTTCCATATAGAGTCTAGTCCTAGTAGGCCTACTCCTAGATCTAGATCTCCCCCCCCCCCCCCCCCCCCCCCCCCCCCCCCCCCCCCCCCCCGCTGAAAAAAATTAACGACTGATAGAATCTACTTAGTTAGACTAGACCTATGTCTAGACTATGATAGAATTTTAAATTACTGGAAGTCCACCTGAGTCCGCGTTGCCCTAACCCTAACGCTAGGACAGAAATACTGGACGAAATAGCTTTAACATTAATGGATACAACATTAAATATTACATAACACATTGTGTTATTCTTCAAGTTCAACATCCAAAAAAATCAAATAAATTATTATCAAGTTCTTTTCTCATGTTTTAGTAGGGGGTATAAATATGGAACTCTTGTCTGGGTCAGAATTCGACCATCATGTCATGAATTGACCGCGCTTGTTGCGTGTGTACATGTATGTGTCTATGAGCGCCGCTCAGCGGCTATGTACAGCGCTCATGCATTGGCTGTTCTGGGCAAAAATCCGGCCCGCACTGTTCGGATGCCATATGGTTTGGGAACTGGGAGTTTGCCGCATAGCGGCAAGAGAGAAGGGGGAAATAATTTTGTAACCCTTGAGAGCGGCAACCGGCCCGGCCTGGCCGAGCGGCCCTCATTAAAAAATTGGCTCTGAAAAAGGGGGTCTTTGTAGCGGCACATACCCGTGTCACCAATATATGCGAGTACATTGGGATTTATCAATCGAATCATGTATTTTGGAGGTGGAAAACTTTCAATTGACGTCAAAGAATTTGAAATTAGGTATTACATAAAGGTAATAATTGAGTTCAAACCCATATAAATTATCATTTGTTCATTTTGGGGGATTTTGTATCATATAGTAATGGGTGACATTCATGGATTTTGAATGCCAATATGCCAGGCGCGGTAAAAAAAAAAATTGTTGCCAATTTGAATGAAATGTAAAAATCCATGTCAAAATTATTAATTGTCACTGTGTGTCAAAATAGAATAGTCAAAGTGGATGATTGATATGATCAGTCTTGCTTCGATATTTAATATAATATCTTGTGCATCTTTCTGGTCTTAGCGGTAATTTTGACATTGGAATCATTGCAAGGTCAAACTTTTTTGTTTTGCATTGTTGTGGGTCAACCTAGATACACGCACCCGCTATTGCTTGCACCTACATGTACAAAGCATGAAGCTTAATTCCTATTCACTGTCGAAGCCTATGTAACGACCCCGGTCCCGGCTTGTACATTTCGATAGCAACCGCTCAAACAAATGCTTAACGCAGGGCAATCAAGTGCTGTTGGATTATATGCGAATGTGTACTGTGCGCGTGCGTGGCCACGCACTGCGCATTCCAACTTCGACAGCGAATATAGAACCATATGTCAAAAAATGCTGATTACAACGATTTACCCTAGACCTCTATAACAAAACAAATTTCTGTTTATTTGTGTTGTTGGCATAGGGTTCTGCGTTGAACTGCTCGCGAAACACCCAACGATGAACATGCAGTATCTGCAGAAACTTTGCATGCTTTTTGGGTTGTCAAAATAATTTTCCTGATTTTTTCATTGGATTGTAGACCATGCAAGACTGGATCTATGACAATTCCATTGAGAAACAAAAATAAGACAGGGAAATTAAGTTCTAGAGGAAGCTTTGTAGGTGCACCGCTATCGCAAGAGATAGCGGGTGCGTGTATCTACATTGTAGGGTCAAACAGTCTTTTTTAACACAATTTTTCTGACACAATATGAAAAATATGTACATGTTTTTATTTTCCTGCAGCAACTACTTGCCCAAGAAGACGAGCGATGTGAGGAGTCGCGGTTGCAGGGCTAGGGCTTTTTTTTTCAAGCATCAAGATCAAGGAAAGAGTCACTGGTAAGTTTCACTGGGTATTCAAAATTTTGTATCCAAGACCAATTCGAGAGATCGACAAGAGCTGTAAGATATTCTCCGATAGCGGCGCTATATTACTTTGGTTGTGCTGCCTACTTCCAGGACAGGCACGAGTGAATAGCTTTCCTATTGAAATCAGCCAAAATCATGATGCGTCATTATAACGAACGGTTCTAAAACGCTATCGAAAAGTGATTTAAACATTGATTTAAATCAGTTTAAATAAGTGTTTTTGTGAGTATGGGGTTCCGTTGCGGATGAAATGATCAAATTAGCCGGCAAAAATTGAATTCTGTAGGATTTCGGCGTAAAAGACCGGAAGTAGGTAGCACAACCTGAAGCTGGACCCGCTGAGCCAACAGCGCACGTCAACCAATCAGAAACAAGCATTTAATTCATTTAATTTAACGCCCTCTAGCGGCCAAATAGTTATTGTCAATCCCCCAATTTCATCATTCCCAATTAGGCCACTTGTGGTGATGGTGACATACACTAAAATAGATAATGGACCCCTTTTTGGAACTTGATACTTCCCTTACTGGAATGTAATCCCTTCTTCCATAGCGGTGTAACCCTACTAAATTTGATGAATACCATCTGTAGTTTTTCCTATTAAATGCTGTTATAATTCTTGGTTTATATAGGCCTTGTCTTCATTTTCTATTTTTCTCTAACCCTTTTAGACATGCTGACCAGAAGAAGACATTGTGGTGTTGGAAAACCCAACCCCCTTGAGGTAGCAGCACAATACACAGAGAAAGAAAAGGACCCTCCTCACTTCATTGTCAAGCTGTTTGAGAACAAAGGTAAGCAACATCATTTTTTAATTCATAATTAAGTTTCATGGGGCTGCTACAAGTTTAGGTCGTATACTGTCCAACAATATTTGATTGATGTCACAGCAGAAACATAACTTAACAACATAATTTGCATATTTTGCACATTCATTTCAACTCAAGTTCTTTTGTTTTATGCCTCCGACATGAAGTGGTGCCGGAGGCATTCTGTTTTTAGGTTATCCGTCTGTCCGTCCATATTTCTTCTTACCACGATAACATAAAGGGATGTACATGTATACCTGGTGTTCTAGAAGGCGCTGTTCGATGGCATGTTGTGCGCCGCCAATTTTATCCCGAAGATTGACCAGGCATATTTACATACATCATTTTTTTACTGTTTGGAACATGGCATTGTGTAAACACCGGTATGATCGAATAACATATATTGGTGTCAATGGCAACTCACACCGTCTGTCCGAGTACACATTGTCAAGATATTCTGACAAAATTAATTGTACTGATCAAATTGGCACTGTGATTTTTGGAAACATATAAATTCCTGCCATTTCCATCTCAACATAAAAGAAATAGAATAGTGAATCTGGCATAAGAAAATCAGACACACTTCCTGGATACTTTTTGTAATCCTTACTTCCTCAAACTCTACAATGTACAGAACCTGCAAACCCAACTCTTGGAGGGTGTCCAAAATGAAAACAGTGAGAAACAAAACAAATTGAGTTGAGCTGGACATCCTTATTTACTACATATAGAGTATATAGGGACAATGTCTAGATGTGCGCCTGAAAGTAAATTGCACGAAATAAATTGCAAATCAATATTTTGTTGAAGATGACTTTCAGCTGTGACGTCAACAATCAACTATCGTTGTTTAGAGGTACCATAATGTTGGTGTAATGATGTCTTACTGTAATTTTTCTTACAGGAAGAGGGATAGTGGCACAAAGAGACATCTCAAAAGGGGAGTTTTTTGTTGGTACCCAGGCCAACTTATATCTGCCCAAGAAGGCAACCAACGTGAGGAGGAGGAATCATCTGGTTTTCGTTTTTTTTTTAAGCATCAAGGACAAAGCTACTGGTAAGTTTGCACGTTTTATTCCTATTAGGAGATTATGAAACGGGCACTGTCCATCCGTATGTGTACTACCTATTACTTTTGGATGGTTCGTCCTATCATTACCAAATTTGAATGGTAGATGCATTAGCTAGGGAGGCCTATACATTTTAGTGTGGTCAAAGGTCACTCAGACTTTGTGTACAAAATGTTAAATTTGTACATAAGATGTTAAATCTACATATTACTTTTGGATGGTTCATCCCATCCTCACTAAAGCTGGATTTGGGGGTCATGCGGTCAAAGGTCATAGGGCAATAAATAGCTTGTGGTCGTGTTATCTCAAGAACCGATTGACGGATTCTCACCAAACTTGGCCCATGTATGTACCTTAAGGGGCCAATGATGAACTAATTCGATTTTTGGGTTATGAGGTCAAAGGTCACAGGGCTCATTATATATGCAATAAGAGCTTGTGATCACGTTATGTAATTGGGCTTAATATGTAAATCGCGCAATAGTGGAGGCATCATTTTCGACTGCGCGCAGTCGAACATCCATCTAGTTGAATGACATACAATATTGTACACTTTTCTTTGGAATACAGTCTTGATGCAACTGATGAGTGTGCTTTTGGGGATAGACTCGGCCGCCTCGTGAATCATGGACAAGGGAGGGAGGAGAACGCCCGAATGAAGATACTAGATATGAAGTCACATCCACACATGTGGATAATTGCTACAAAGAACATATCTAAAGGGACCGAAGTTCTGTACAATTATGGAGTTCGAGAACTGCCGTGGAAGAAAAAGGTAAAATTAATTTTGATAAATTTAGAGTATGATGGAAATTACAAGATTATTATCAGATGTGATAAAAGTCAAATTTTACCTTTTCATGTTTTTGCTTGTAACCCATGATAGACAAAGCAATACAAGTCATGTATGTGAGATTCAATTCTTTACCTCTGTACATTACCCATAATACTAAAAATTGCCCCATGTGATATAGCTAAACTGATTACATTTTGGACAAGTTTCTACTCATTATTTGGCTTTATTCATCTAATTTCTAATTATTTTTCCCCTCAGCATTTCAGAGGACAAGTTCAAAGGGAAGAAGAAGAAGGAGAGACACAAGTCCACCAACAGGAAAGAGGGACTCTAGGACAACAACAAGAAGGAGAGATGCAGGTTCACCAGCAAGAAGGACAGACACAAGGACATGAACAAGAAAGAGGGACTCTAGGGCACCAACAAGGAGAAGACATACATGTCCACCAACAAGGAGAGACACAGGTCCACCAACAAGGAGAGACAGAGGACCACCAACAAGAACGAGGAACACAAATCCACCAACAAGGAGGAGATACACATGTCCACCAACAAGAAGGAGAGACAGAGGGCCACCTACATGAAAGAGAGACTCTAGGACACCAACAAGAAGGAGAGATGGAGGTCCACCAACAAGAAGGAGAGACAGAGGGCCACCTACATGAAAGAGAGACTCTAGGACACCAACAAGAAGGAGAGATGGAGGTCCACCAACAAGAAGGAGAGACAGAGGGCCACCTACATGAAAGAGAGACTCTAGGACACCAACAAGAAGGAGAGATGGAGGTCCACCAACAAGAAGGAGAGACAGAGGGCCACCTACATGAAAGAGAGACTCTAGGACACCAACAAGAAGGAGAGATGGAGGTCCACCAACAAGAAGGAGAGACAGAGGGCCACCTACATGAAAGAGAGACTCTAGGACACCAACAAGAAGGAGAGATGGAGGTCCACCAACAAGAAGGAGAGACAGAGGGCCACCTACATGAAAGAGAGACTCTAGGACACCAACAAGAAGGAGAGATGGAGGTCCACCAACAAGAAGGAGAGACAGAGGGCCACCTACATGAAAGAGAGACTCTAGGACACCAACAAGAAGGAGAGATGGAGGTCCACCAACAAGAAGGAGAGACAGAGGGCCACCTACATGAAAGAGAGACTCTAGGACACCAACAAGAAGGAGAGATGGAGGTCCACCAACAAGAAGGAGAGACAGAGGGCCACCTACATGAAAGAGAGACTCTAGGACACCAACAAGAAGGAGAGATGGAGGTCCACCAACAAGAAGGAGAGACAGAGGGCCACCTACATGAAAGAGAGACTCTAGGACACCAACAAGAAGGAGAGATGGAGGTCCACCAACAAGAAGGAGAGACAGAGGGCCACCTACATGAAAGAGAGATTCTAGGACACCAACAAGAAGGAGAGATGGAGGTCCACCAACAAGAAGGAGAGACAGAGGGCCACCAGCAAGAAGGACAGACACAAGGACATGAACAAGAAAGAAGGACTCTAGGACACCACAAGGAGAAGACATACATATATACCAACGAGGAAAGACACAGGTCCACCAACAAGAAGAGAGACTCTAGGACACCAACAAGGAGGAGATACACATGTCCACCAAAAAGGAGTGACAGAGGACCACCAACAAGAAAGAGGAACACAAATCCATCAACAAGGAGAGACACAAGTCCACCAAAAAGGAGTGACAGAGGACCACCAACAAGAAAGAGGAACACAAATCCACCAACAAGGGGAGACACAAGTCCATCAACAAGAAAGAGAGACTCTAGGACACCAACAAGGAGGAGAGATGGAGGTCCACCAACAAGAAGGAGAGACAGACCACCACAGAGTCTAGGACACCAACAAGGAGGAGATACACAGGTCCACCAGCAAGAAGGAGAGACAGAGGGCCACCAACATGAAAGAGAGACACAAGTCAACCAACAAGAGATAGGGACTCTAGGGCATCAACAAGAAAGAGGAACACAAATCCACCAGCACAGGGAGACACAACAAGAAAGAGGGACTCTAGGACACCAACAAGAAGGAGAGATGCAGATTAATCAGCAAGAAGGACAGACACAAGGACACGAACAAGAAAGAGGGACTATAGGACACCAACAAGGAGGAGACATACATTTCCACCAACAAGAAGGAGAGACACAGGTCCACCAACAAGAAAGAGGGACTCCAGGACTCCAACAAGGAGAGACACAAGGACACCAACCAGTCGAAGGAGAGTTCAAAGGATTAGAACAATCTGAGCATCCACAAAACTGTGTATCTCCATCAAGTTGTTCCTCAGATGAGGAAGAGCAGTACACACGCCCAAGAAGGTTCATCTACCCTAACCTATCTAAATCATCAAGTGAACTCCAAAATCATTTTGACAGTGATGAATCTGACCTTGATCCAACATATCGACCAGAGGAGGGTAGCAACGAGGAATACAGCAGTGATGATGAGGCAACTCTTGAGATTCATCCAAGAAATGTTCAAGTGCGCAAGAGACCATCTTCTGTTATATCTACACCAGATGAAAAACCTACAAAGATTTATAAACAGTGCCTTCCAGGATCATTTTCAGGGCCAGAATTGCCACATCAGAAAACCAATGATAATATGGAAACGACACACAAACACGAGGACAAGAAAACAAGGTACAAGAAGCCATCAAGGCCATGCCCTTTCTGCAACAAAGCTTGTGGTGAAAAGCTCTCGAGACACATTTGTTTGGTACATAAGGATAAGGAGCAGGTGAAATCTGCCATGCAGCTGCCAAAGCGGGAGAGAGACAAGGTGTTCTCAAAGTTCAGGAAGGAAGGCATATACCAAGTAAATAGAGAACGTATGAAAGATGACAACCCCATTTATGAAAGAGAAAAGTTACCAAAATCAGGGAATGATGACAACCTTAAAATGTGCAGTAACTGCAAGGGCTTTTACAGCTCACATTTCTTCTGGCATCACAGGAAAGTTTGCCAAGGTGATATATGCACTCCATCTGAAGGAGTACCAGTAAACCTCATGGAAGGGAAAGATCCAGTGTATCAAAAACACCCAGACTTTGTCACTGACATACTTAGTAGATTCCAGAATGATGACGTTGGGAATACGTGTAGAACGGACAAAGTGATAGTTAATGTTGGACATCGACTGTGGACTAAACACAGATCCAAAAAAGACAAGAAACTTGAAGTAAGAAAATCAGTTATGGCTGATATGAGAAGACTTGCCACCTTATACACTGAGTTTAAGAAGAAACACGAGGTTCATGGGACTGCAGATCTCACAATGGGACATGCTGGAGACATGTTCAGTAGAGAGCACTTCGAATCTTTGACAGAGGCAATCCAGACGCTCACTTATGATGAAACTGAAGGCAAACTAAAGCCAGGACTGAAACTCTGCTTGTACTTTGTGCTGAAAAAAGCTAGCAAAATCACTAAAGCTAGTTTTCTTGTATCCAGGCTAGATGAAGATGCATCTGAGATTGACAAGTTCGTAGAGATTCTTGACTTGAACCAGAATTTGATTTTTGGGGATGCACACTACGAAATCCAAAAGAATCGCCAAGTGCGTTTGAGGAAGCCTGCAGAGCTCCCGCTTGAGGCTGACATTGAAGCATTGAAGACATACACTCAAAAGAAAGTCACAGAAATCATCTCTGATGAGTTCCTGGTTTGGGATTCTCACACATTTGTAGAGTTACGAGATCTGACTTGCTCGCGATTGACATTGTGGAATGCAAGGCGTGGTGGAGAACCCAGCAGGCTTACAACCGAAGAATGGAGAGATGCAGAAGAGGGTGTATGGATGCAGAAAGACAAGATTCATGAAGTTAAAAATCCAGCCCATCAGGAACTTTTATCTCAGCTCAAGATATGCTACCAGACTGGGAAGGGCACTAATCGCTTGGTTCCAGTCCTGTTCCCAAGAGACACTGTGAAACCTGTGCAACTTCTATGTGATCAGGAAATCCGGCATACAGCAGGAATAAGACCTGATAATAAGTACATATTCGCTTGTACTCAAATGTCTCATGACCATGTTGGAGGGTGGCATGCTCTAAAGAATGTCT